TTTACGTAAATTTTTTGTTTTTAAAGTTACAAAATTAAAAATTTTAATTTTTTTATAATTGCTGTTTAGGTTTTAAAAAAAAAAAAAAGTATTAAAAGGCGGGAGGAGGGAGGAAAAAGGAAAAGAAAAAAAATTTCTCTTGGGGGTGGGGGTCCGGAATAAATTTACTATGGGGATTACGAACGAAAGAAAAAAAACCGGAAATTGTATAATTTAAAAAAAAAAAACATTAAAAATAAATTTTTTTACGTATTTATCATTTTTAATTTTTTTTCCTTTTTGAGGGGAGGGGGTTTTTTTAAATTTTTTGTTCGAATTTTTTTTAACGTGATTTTGTTTCATTTTTTTTTTCTATTTCCACGACATTTTATTTTAAAAAAACATTAAAATTTGTTTTTATGGAATAAAAAAATAATATAAAATAAAATTCAAGGCAAAAAAAGGAAAAATTTAAATTTTATCATATCACGACATTTCCTTCTTTTTTTTTCCTCCCTCCCTCTTCCTTCCCCCTGCCCCGCCCACCCACCGCGAAAACACGCCTTATTCTTTTTAATCATACATACATATATTTTTTTTTTTATGGAAAAATAAAAAATTATTTTTTCCAAAAACTTTTTTGCAATTAATCTAAAAAAAAAAAAAAGAAAAAAGAAAAAAAGGAAAAGTTGACTTACGATTCGTAGATATTTGTCTTTTTCAAACTGTCGGAAAAGTCTGTCTGATTTCATTTCAACAAAACTTTTTTGCAACATTTTCTTTTTTTTTTTACTACAACGTCTTTAATAAAAAAATTTTCCATTTATTTTTCTTTTTTAAAAAAAAAAAAAAAAACTTTCATTTTTTTTTTTGTGTCACATTCAATTTCATCATAAATAAAAAAAAATATATATATATATACGAGAAACAAAAGAAAAAAGAAAACCTTGAATACTTTCCCACTTAAAAGAAAACTAAATGATAATAATAATAATGATAATAAAGATGAGGATATTTAATAAGAAGAAAACGTGAAAAGAAAAACTCGCGTTAACTAAAATTCCTAATAAAAAAATTAATTTTTCATTTTATTGAAAATAAATTTCAAAAGAATTTTTATTTTCCAGTGAATTTTCCAGCGTGAATGTGTCGATTTTAAAATTTAATAAAATTTTATGTATGTATATTAACTGATAACCTTATTATTATTATTATTATCATTATTAAAAATTTCATTTTATTTTATTTTTTTTTTTAGAGAAATTTTTGGAGAAATTCCAGTTGCTATAAAAACTCAATAGCCGAGTAAATATATTATTTTTATTTCTATTTTTTTAATTTTGTCTTTTTAAAAAAAAAGAGAGAGAAAAAGAAAGAGAGAGAGAATCCAAATATATCGAGTTACGTTAAACAAAAAAAAAAAAAAACAAATTTTGACGCAGATTTTAAAAAAAAAATTATTATTATTTTTTTTTCTCCAGCCATTTTGTCGTTTTTTTTTCTTCAAGTAAAACGAAAACGGATAAAAAAAAACAATTTTTTTTTCCTTATGAAAAATAATAATAATAATAATAATAATTTTTCGTTCATATTAACTGTAATTAAATTTTAACGTTTCGACGATTATTACCCGAAATCGTTTGTAACTAACCGTTTGTATCAAAATAATTTATTTTATTTTTTTTGTATAAACAACAACAACAACAACAACAAACAACCAACGATTTATTATTATTATTATTAATATTCGCGCGATTAATTTATTAAAAAAAAAAAAAAACGAGAAAATTCTTTGTTGGCTTTAAATTATTCTCGAAAAATTAAACACGTACGATAAGACTCCATAAAAAAATTTTTATAAATAATAATAATAATTAATAATAAGAATAACAGTAATTAATAATGATAATAATAATAATAATGAAAAATAATTAATAATAATAATAATAACAAAAATTATAAAACGCAAAAATATTATTCGAAAAACAAAAAAAGAAAAAATTCGCCATTTTTTTTTTTAAATTAATTTAAATTTATTATGGAAATCATTGATCGATCGATTGATTTGATCGATTGATCGATCGATTGATTTGACCGATTGATCGATCAATCGAATGTTTATTATAATATTTAATCGTAAATATATTTAAACTCGACACTCGCTGGAAAATTTTTCGGAAAATATTTCACCAGAAAAAAAAAATTTAAAAAAAAAAAAAACGATTTTGAAACGTGCGTTTTATAAAACGATAGAAACTAATAAAAAAAAAATGGGGAGGGGGAGGGGGCGTAGAGGGGGAAAAGAAAATTCCATTTTCCGCTCCTGATTTTAATACCGAAAAAAAAAAAAAAAATTTAAATATTGTCTCGACTTTTTAATCTCTTTAAAAAAAATAAAAAAATTTTTTTTTTAGTTTCTCTTAATCTTTAAGTAGATTTACAGTTATAAGAAAAAATAAAATGGAGAAAAGAGAGAGAGAGAAAGAGAGAGAGAGAGAGAGAAAGAGAGAGAGAAAAAAATTATTTTAAAATGAAAATAAATGACTTTTTTGTATATTCTCACGGATCATGATGATGACGTAATAAAAAAATCTTAGAAAAACTTTTTTTTAGGGTTAAATAATGCAAAAACCAAAAAAGTTTCAGTTTCCATAAAATGAAAATAAACAAAAAAAACTTATGACGTAATAAACATAAACGAACAAAACTATTTCAATAAGAGAAAAAAAAAAAATATATATATATATATATATATATATATATATATATATATATATATATATATATAATAAAATAAATAAGTTTATGAACTTCCGGTTGGCAAGAAAAAGAAAAGTTTTTATAAAAAATAAAAAAAAATGGGCGTATAAACATTTTCTGAAATATGGGTAGAGGGGGAGGGGAGAAGAGGGGGAAGGGGAGGGGAGAAAGAAAATAATTCAAATGATTGATGCGATTAAAAATGTCGAATTCCAGACTTTGAAAAAAAAAAAAAAAAAAAAATACTCGCGCGTTATTTATTACCGAATAATATTATCGTTTTAAAATATAAAAATTTATTTATTTACTCCCTCCGCCATTTTGTTTTTTTTCACAAACCGAACCGGAAAAAAAAAATTTTTAACGGAAACGTTGTTAAAAAATTTAATAATAATAATAATAGTTTTAAAAAAAATACATAAGAAAACCATCAAAATGACTGGAAAAAAAACTTTCTCTCTCTTTCTCTCTCTCATTAAAACCTTTTCTTTCAACGTCATAAACTTTTTTTTTTTTTTTTTAAAAAAAAAAAAGAAGGATGAGTAATGGAGAATAGTAGATGGGCAAGCAAGAAGTGTTTCGTGAAAATAAAAAAAAAAAAAAAAAAAAATACATTAAGAAAATGTAAAAGCACTTTTTACCACTTAAATGTTTTAACAACAATCAATGATGACCTCCTAAAAAAAATTTTTTTTTTTCTTTTTACATTCGCGTAAAGAAAAGAAAATTTTTTTTCTTTCCCCCCCCCTTCATCCCCCTTTCCTATACAAAAGTTAACAAACCCATGGGATTCAAGGAATAAAATAGTCCCTAATGAATAATATTGAACTGTTGAAATTTAACATTAGAATTATTTTTCTAAAAAAAAAAAAAAAGAAAAACTTTTTGTCTTAACAACATTAAAAACTCAATTTTTAAAATAAAAAAAAAAAAAAAATTCCAATTTAACTAAATTACTTTAAACGACAGCACAATTTTTTTTTTTTCTTAAGCAAATGCAACAAAAAAATTATTATTATTATTTCAATTTTTTTTTATTTATTTCCTTTTATTTCCTTTTTTTGTCCTTATAATTTTATTACTTATTTAACAAAAGAGTAAAAAAAGTATTAATTACTTTAATTAATTAATGATGTAGTAGAAAAAAAAAAAAAAACGTTACGTTTCCCATTTATTTTTTATCAAATCACGTGACGACATTAAACGCGGAAAACGTTTTCCACGTTAAAAAAAAATCTTAAAATAATTTTTTTCCATAGAGTAAATAAACCGATACGAAATGATCGTTTGAAATTCCCAACAAAAGTGAGGGAGAGTAGGGGAGGGGGGAAGAAAGAAAAGATTTTAAATTTTGGAACATTTACTCGATCGATCTCGATTAAAACGTCTTCTGCTACGTTATAATCGTAGGAATAATAATAATAATAATAAGAATAAGAAATAATAAAAAAAATAATAAAAAAAGTTACTGTTTTGTTTTCTCGACCATCAACGACGATCAAAATCCATTTTCACGACGATGACGATTCTCCATTTTGTTTGATAACAATTTTCGATTTGTATACGTCTATGTACATGGTCAACAAAGCAATCAAACCCAATATGGACGGTATTCCGCATCCGTAAACCATAACATTTTGATAATATAAATTCGGATCCGAAAACAATGCGGTTTTACTAAAAGCAGAAAAAAAAAAACAAAAACAAAAAATTAAATCATTATCATTCTTCTCTTTTTTTTTTTTTTTTTTTTTGAAAATATTCAGTATATATGAAAAAGAAAAAAACTTACGAATGTTCAATAAATAAAATGGCTAAACCTCCTAAAAATTTATCCCCCGCGGTTACGATGCTATAAACAAAAGCTCCATTAACTGTATCGGTTCCAATCATATCAGCACACAAGCAAAGACTTGCCACGCCCGATACAGACCCTGCAGCTCCTAAACGCAAGCAGAAAAAAAAAAAAAAAAAAAAAGAAAACATTTATAAAAAAAAGAAAATCGTTTTCGTAAGATTTGTTTTTTTCTCTCTCTATCTCTCTCCCACCCCCTGTTTATACCTAACAGTGCAGCAATTCCAAAAATTTCTGCAGTGTGAGTAAAATCTCTAAGTATCCAAATACATCCGCAAAAACTTAAAATCATTCCTATGATGTAAAACATCTGAAAAAAAAAAATTTCATTCGAAACTCGTAGAATTTGTTTTTTTTTTTAGTTTTTTTTCCCCATTGCTTACTTTGCTGCTGATAAATTTTCTGCATTGCCTAACGATTAAAGATGAGAAAAAGGATGCCAGGTAACAAATTAACGGAACCGTTGCTATGTATTCGACTTCGTCACCGATTTTTTCAACGACGTACAAGGGTAAGTAAACCATTGTTATGTTTACCAACATTCTACTCGTGAAATAAATCAATATGACCTGAAATTTAAAAATACCATACGAAGCGGTCAAATTTCAACCGAATCATAAATCATTTATGCCGTCGGATCGATAAATAATAACAACACTTCCGTATCCGGTTTGATAGACTGACTCGCGTCACGACAATTATTACAGGAATCAGATGTCGACCCGAAATTTGTTGCGAGAAAAAAAAAAAAAAAAAAATTTTTTTATTACGTTTCCGCTTACCGATTTGCGTTACCTAACATTTCCAACCTTGATATTGAATGCAAGGCCAAGTTTTTTAGAGCAATTAGTTAAAAATTTTAGATCACATCTTCGACATTGTTTTTCATTTACCTGATATAACAAAATCGATTTGAAATAATCCTTAGCTATTTGAGACCAGGACGTGGGACCCTTTTTCGTTTTATTATCCGAACCTCCTCCGGAATCGCTGGGAGTTTTTAATATGACGTGAAATAAAACTGTGAAAATTCCGCCGATTGTGAGTCCCAATAAGGCAATGGACTGGAAAAATAAATAAATAAATAAATAAGCATTTTCCGAAAGCATGAACCGAATTTCGCGGATTGACACCTCTCGACATTTCTTACCCTGAATTTGTATGCATCGTTTGGACCTATAGAACCCTTGTCATTTTTTGTCACGTGCAATATAAACCACGTTATGAGATATACGAGCATGTAAGCCAAAACCCCCGCGCTGTACCTAAAAACAAAATGAAAAGAATTTTCATTTTTCATTTATTTATTTAATCTTTTAATTATTCGCGAACGATTTTTTTTTTTTTTTTTTTAAATTAAAAACTGAATTAATAATAACTGTGTCATCAATCGTATGTGTTCGGTGGAATAAATTTATTTTTAAGGTTAAATGACAAAAAAAAAAAAATTGAAAACAAAAGTGCGGAAAATGTATTCACAGGCACCGTAATTTACGTTTTTGTTTTTGTTTTTTTTTTTTTTTTTTTCAAATTTCTATTTGTCACGTATTTTTGTTTATGTTACTAGTTATAATTTAATTTTTTAAAGGAAAAATTTAAATTTTTAATTTAAATCAAACGGAAACAACATTTTAAAAAAATTAAAATTTTTTTCCATTAAAGGGAGAAAGAAAACCAAACCGGAAAACGATTTTTCGCCCCATTTTAAATAAACCGACAAGGAAAATTTCATATTTTCTCTCTCTCCCTCTCCCCTCTCTCTCGTATTAATAAATTTTTTTCCCTGTTTTCCAAATTTCATAAAAAGAAAAAAACATACGGGAAAACGTTTCGAATATCGCGGAAAAATGAAGAAAATCAAACAAAATTCAGTTTTCTCGTAACGTGTAAAATTTGGGTGAGGAACGTTTTTCCAAGTTCGTTGTTACCTTCAAGAAAATTACTAATTTTATCGAATTCTATTAGTTTAATAAACAAACAAAAAAAATTATATAAACAAACGTAACCGAATTTCCCGGAGAGAGAGAGAGAGAGAGAGAGATTATTACAACGTGAAAAAAATTTATTAAGTAAATGTTTTGTTTCTATTTGAAACGTGAGTCCGAAAATTGCACACACTTTACACACACCTTTGGTAATACATATATCATTTTAATTTTTCGCATTTGATAAAACATTCCGATAAAAAACAAATGGGTTTTAACTTTTAATATTCGGTAAGAGAGAGAAAGAGAGTGAGAGAGAGTGAGAGAGATAGAGAGAGAGAGAGAGAAAATCGAGGAAAAACGCTTACCGTAGAGCAGTCAAATTCGCTCTTTCGTTTTTATCTTTGGCCAAATCCGTTATTATGGCCAAATGTGCTATTTGAACGGTCGCCCAACCCCATTGAAAAATCGATACAAGAAAACAAAAATATATCGTTCCGGTAATTATGTCGATTTGATTGTAATTTTGCCACGACGGTAAATCATCGTCCGTCGTCGAATTTCCAACGACCATAACAGTGTTGGGAAACCAAGGACAATCCGAATATATCAATACGAAACTGTAGGTTATAAAAGCTGTACCTGAAAATTAAAATTAAATATACGTATAATAATAATAATAATAATAATAATAATAATAATATTTTTCTTATCTCGATCGTAAAAAAAAAAAAAAAAAAAAATCTCATTTCTCATCAAATTACCAATCAAATGCCATGATTTTCTCGTTCCGTATCTATCTATCAAAATTCCGCAAATGGGAGAAGCAATCGCGTCAGCAACTTGACCTACAAAAAAAAAAAAAAAAAAAAAAAGAAAAATCTACGAGTTAATTATTTAAGTGTCGACAATTTTAATAAAAAAAAAAAAAAAAAATTTTCTTCTTTATAATTTAAATTTTCATACGAAACAATTTACCCAAATTTTTATCCAAAATTTTACTTGTAACTTGTTTACTGACTAACTCCCCGAAATTTTTTCTCATCCATATTTTAACAATAATAATTCGACATTGACAAATTTATTTATTTATTTTTTATTAATTAATTAATTAACGGTCGACCGCCGTATTTTTATAAATTTTTTAAAATTATTAAAATTATATTTTTATTCCGACTATTATTACAATTTAAAATAACAATTAATAATAATCAATAAGTAAAAACTTTTTCAACTTACTTAGTTTTTCGAAACCGAAAAGAAAATTTTTTTTTTCGTTAAACTTTATACGAATTCGATTGAAATTATACATTTATTTTAATATTATTATTTTAATGAATAAATATAAATTTTTTTTTGAAAGATTTTTTTTATCCGAAACGTGGTAGAAAAACTATGGTCGAGTCTTACCAACGCACACGAGTAATCCGGCAATGGAAGATGGCATTTTCAAAACCAATTCGTAAAATAATAATGTATAAGTAAACCACATTCCACTGCAAACATCGTTCATGAAATGTCCCAAACCGTAAGCAACCCTTTGAGAGAAATTTAATTCACCACTTTTAACCCCATTACCAAACATGATTCCCGTTTTGATTTTTTCTTTTTTTTTTTTTTTTCGCGGCAGTAACAACAACAACACTGAGTCCTCTGTGTGCTGTCACTTGCGGGACTGCGTTTTGCAAACATGTCCCATTATTATTACGTTTATAACACGAGAAAGAGAGAGAGAGAGAGAGAGAGAGAGAAGGTGACGCGTTCACTATATTTACTATTAAATAATTTCGGTGGCCTAACCCAAAGAGAAAATTTATTTTGTTTTTTTATTTTTTTTAAATTTAATTTTAGATTAATAGAATAATTTTTTTTTTTTTTTTACCTAAAATTTTTTATGCACTAATAATAATAATAATAAAACAAATGACCCAATAAAAATATATGCGTTCTCATATATATATATATGGTTATTGTAATACGACCGTTTAATAAATAAACGTATAAATATTAATAATATCATTTTTTTTCTATTTTTTTTGTACTGAAAGTAAAAGTTTTAATTTCTTATTTTTTTCATAAGGGTAATATTTTTTTAATAATTATTAGTATTCGTGTTACCATAATAAAATAAACGGCCTTTCAAGTACGATTCGATTAAAGAATGTTTTTACTTTTTTAATTCGAATTTTTTTTTTTTTTTTTTTTTTTTAAATTTTAACACGTACGTAAAAAAACACATAAATTACTATTAACAATTTAAACAAGTAATTTTTTCATTTTAAAAATAAAATTTTTCATTGAAAAATGTCTCTACTAAAGTATAGCATCTCTCTCTCTCTCTCTCTCATTCTCTTTACAAAAATAATAATATAAAATTTTTCTTTAATATCCTAACGACAATTAGCTACATCAAAGCGTTATTTAAATAAATTATTAAAATTATACAATAAATACAATAACGAAATTAAATAAATAATAATTATTAAAAATTATAATTAGCGTTCGCGAACCCCAAATATTTTATTACGTAAATATATTTAGTTATTTAAAACAATAAATTGTTTAAATTATATCCAAAATATAATTTTTAATCGTAACCGGAATATAATTAATAATAAAATTTGATTTTAAACACAATGAGTAAAATAAAATTTCCGATTTTTTTTTTTTTTTGCCTAATATTTGTTTATTTTCGATAAGGTAAAGTTTGATAAGGGTTAACGATTTCAACTTGATACCGTTCGTTTCGAAAACTACCTTTTTTAAACAATTACGCCAACGTAGATTTTTAAACTTATTCACAAAAAAAAAAAAAATTTACATTCATTCAAAACTATAGAAAATTTGTAAAAACTCCCTGTGATTTCTACCTTTTTGTATTTATGTAATAGTTAATATTTTTTTCTTTCTTTGCAGTAATATATCAAATTATCAGAATTTAAAATAACATCAAAATTAACAATCGATAAATTTGATCGATAGTACTTTGAGCAAATTGTATTTTATGTTAGAAAGAATTGTTTAATTTATAAAAAAATATTCTTAGTAATACCAAAATAAATTTCAAATAGTCTTACAGTTAGCTATAAAAATTTATACATTTACAAAAATTTACATTAATTAAATTAAAGTTTTTTTTTTTTAAATCAAAACCTAATGTCTCTTTTTCAAATTCAAAATGTCTTATTAGCTATTATCAATTCGATCTTGAAGTTATCAGTACGAAAGAATATTGAAAAATTTGTATTACAAATTTTAGCGACTTATAATATTTTAAAATTCAAATTACTCGAAGGGCATACATGTGTTATTATTATGTATTCATAATAATAAATATATATTTCTGATGTAATATAAAAACTGATTTATACTCTCATCATAATTTACTTAAGAAATAATACACTAAAATGTAGTATGCTTTTAATACACAAATGTCAGTGATTAAGTAATTCAATTTCATTATGAAAAAATTAATAAAAAATATATACCTATTTTACGAATATCATTTTCTATGTTATATCCTCTTTTAATATCAAAAATTTTAGGATTCCTGAAAGAAAAATCAAAAAATAAGTTTAAATGCAAAAAAAAACATGTAAAAATTATTTACTTGCTAAAATTAAAATAAAATGAAAATTATTAAAACAAAGTTACCAGTTTTCTGTAAATGTGTTTTCAATATGTATATAAATAGGTGATTAACATAATGCCTCATGTTCTCATTCAGTAGTATAAAATAGTAATACCTAAAACAGAATAAAAATTAATTAAATTATCATCTACAATAAACTAAGCAAATGTTAAATTTAAATAATAAATGTAATAAAAATAAATTAAATATTAGAAATTATTAAAAGGTTATTGTTTCAATTTAAAATTTGTTATATATAAATATTAAACGATGCTTACAATACATACAGCTTATCGAAAACAAAATTTATTAAATGAATTATACTAATTATTATCATATATAACGAGAAAATTACCGAAATGAGAATTACACGTTATTTATATCATAAAAAAAGTCATGATCAATTAATTATTGTAAATTATTTTACATTTAAAAAAAAAAAAATGAGGGAAAATATCACGCAAAACAAAATATTGTTTAAAAACAATGAAACTGTTTCAAAACGCTCTCTATGATTGTAAATTTGAATTGTAGGTTATGGCAGCACTGACGATGACAATAAATTGTTCGCGTCGAGTCTGTTTCGGATACTAATGTTGCTCAGGAGTATTTATAAAACGTTTTATAAATTTTTTTTCAACTTACCCACGTTGCAAACACGTGCCGTCGGTATCAGGTTTCGAGCGTAGGTCGAAGTATTAAAAACAAAAAATGAACGGATTAAGCATAAGTGAACTCTGTTGCCTTATTTGCTGTCCTCCTTGTCCGTCGAAAATAGCAGCAAAGCTGGCGTTTTTTCCACCGGAGCCGACGTACAGTTTCACGCCGTGCGAAACGGGTTCGAAATACACGTTGAACTTTACCGAGAAAGCGGAATGGCAACATTTGGAACACGAGAAGGAAAATCTGGAAGGGTTTTACGCGAGGACCGTCAGAGGCAACACGATCGCCTGCCTCTTCGTTAGGTGCAGTGTAAACGCAAGATTCACGATATTGTTTTCTCACGGAAATGCGGTGGACATAGGACAGATGAGCAGTTTTTACCTCGGACTCGGAACGAGGATAAACTGCAACATATTCAGTTACGATTATTCGGGATACGGTGCGAGTTCGGGTAAACCATCGGAGAAGAATCTGTACGCGGACATCGACGCTGCGTGGCACGCACTCAGAACGAGCTACGGTATAAGCCCGGAAAACATAATACTGTACGGACAGAGCATAGGAACAGTGCCCACGATAGATCTTGCCAGCAGATACGAAGTGGGTGCAGTGATATTGCATTCGCCACTAATGTCTGGAATGAGAGTAGCTTTTCCAAACACCAAAAGAACTTGGTTTTTCGATGCCTTTCCCAGGTGACTATGAATTATTACCTAACATATTTTAAGCAATTCATCTTTTATCCTTTATACATATGTAATAGGAGGTACTTTGCTTTTGTATTTGAAACAGTATGTCATTAAATAAGGTTTAATTTCCATTTACATTAAGACACTCATTTTGAATGTTTCGAATAAAGAGGTCTGTTATTTGATTTGTCCCTTGCAGGTTTAAAATCAATAATCGACAACAGTACATTTTTTTTTTTTTCTAGGGTACAATTACCAGTTTGAAATAATTTCAAACTGGATTTTTTAACAAATAATTTTTTTCAATTATATGTATGTGTAATGTAGGTTATATCATGTAAAAAATAATTAGGTTTTTGTACTTGAATTTGTGATTTTGAATACTTCTTACATTTTTTAATTATTTTTAATATGGTGTAAAATACTGCATGGGAATTGAAATTTTTAAATTTTCTCTCAAATTATGGCACACACACACACAGTAAAATTAACCTCACACATAAAATTTTATTCATTTAATTTATTTGATTGGCTTAAATAATTCTACAGGGGTTATTACTCAGTCTGAGCAATTATTATATTTAACAGCATAATGTAATTAATTGTTTAGTCTGGTTACACAGTAATTATATATATTTTATCATTTATAATTTTTTATCAAAAAATTTCTATTTTAATTATCAAATAGTAATTTTTGATGAAAAACGTTTTCTTTTTCCATTTTTTTTTTTTTATTTATTTATTAATTAATTTTTTTTCATTATTTAAAAAAATTAATGGCATATTGTTTTCTCTTTTCAACAATAGTTATAAACAAAAACATTTAATAATTACTTTCACCTGTTATTTTAATTGCATTGTAATTATTATTTTTATTACCCGTAATAATAATAATAATAATAATAATAATAATAAATGAAAATCGAGAATAAACGCTTTGGTCAGGTAAAAAGAAAAAAAAAATTATTAAAACGTTTTAATCGCTATCTAAGCAATTTGAAATAAGTTATAAATTGTTTACGAGGCATTTATATGTATATAAAAAATAGAACAATTCAATTGAATGTTGCAATTTATTATTACGTTCATGATCCCAATAAAATAAAAATTTTTTTTTAGATTATTTTCCATTTGCGTCCAACCGTGTTTCTCTCTCTCTCTCTCTCTCTCTCTCTCTCTCTCTCTCTCTCTCTCTCTCTTTGTATTCCTACGTTTCGAATTAAAAAATAATAATAATAATAATAATAACTGCAACAAAAAAAAAGGAAAGCAAAACCGTTTGAGTTTTAATTTTTTTTTTTTTTTTTAACCTGTAATTTAGGATATCGAATATGATAAGCATTGATTTGGCCGTTACATTTTTTACGTGTTAGTCACTTTTTAAAAATTGCGCTTAAAAATTTAAACAAACACAACGATCGATTGATATCCGGTTTTGACAGAGAAAAAAAAAGAAAAAAACCAATGATATCATCAGGCGTACTTTTTCTTTTTTTTTTTTTATATACGGAAATTTCCTTTTTCTTATTAACACTGTTTGCCCAAGTCCCAAGAGAGAAATAAAACGTCGTCCATTATTAAGGTTAGAATCGGGGTCACGAAACAAAAGAAATTTTTTTTTTTTTTTTTAGGTTTACAAAATACTGTTGTCGTCACTCTGATATGCGTATACGTATGCGTAATAAACGTATTATTGTGCGTTAACCGAATTGAAAACAAAGGAAAACGATTAACAACCTTTATTCTTGTATACCAGATATAACAGAGCCAGAACAGCAGACGACTTTAAATTAGACACATTAAAGCACGTGCATTAATTATAATAAGATTACTTTACAATTAACCTTAAATCAAGAACACACGTGTTATGGTTATTGTTGTTGTCGTTGTTGTTATTGTTATTTTATTGTTTTTGTCGAAAGAAAAATAACTTTTAAAGTTTTCTTTTTTTTTTTTTTTTTTTTTTTAAATTTTTATTTTCTTTGTTTTTGATGTGAATGTCTTGTAGCAATATTATTTTACGGTTAATTCGGTAGCCCTAAGGCAGTCGTACCTGAAAAATAACACACAAAAAAATTTGTAATAATAATTTTCTACCACTTCCATTATTATTATCGTTATTTTTTTTTTTTGTAAATGTGTTTGTTAAATACAAAGGGAAAATTTGAAATTTTTTTCTGAAGAAGAAGAAGAAAATAAGACTAGTTTTTTTTTTTTTTTTTTTTTGCAAATAATAAAACCGTAAAATGAAAACAGAAAATTTGATTTCATTTGATTTTTATTTTTTTTGGTTTTTTTTTTTTTTTTTTTGATTGCCATTAGATTCCATTAAAAGACGCCATATTGAATAAAAATTAAATCAAAATCAATTTCACGTATCCCAATCATTTTTCATCCTAATAATTTAAAAATGAAAATTGAGAAAAGGATGAGAGAGAGAGATAGAGAGAGAGGGAAAGAAGGGGAAAGGGAAAATAAATCCCAATATCCAATTTTTCTTATTCTTTTTTTTCAACTGGATTAAATTTGAATTTTTTTTTGTTGTTTTAACGAGGAGGAAGAAAAATAATAATAATAATAGTAATAGTGTAGTAAAAAAAATTAATAATAATAATTAATAATAATAATTTTCAACGGGTAAAATTTTTATCAATTGATAAAGGAAATGCGAAGGCGTTTTTCTTAATTCATTCAACCCACATTTTCTTATACGTAATAATAATAATAATCATCATCATCGTCATCGTCATCTTTTTTTCTTCTCTCATTATTTTACTTACGTACTCTTTTTTATTTTTATTCATTTTTTTTTTTTTTTTTCGAGTCCTAATTAAAATTGAGTCAAACGAGATCAAATTTTTTTTTTTTATTTCGATTTTTAATCACGTTTATTATTGATTTTTATGAATGAAATAAAATTGCTTGATTGAGGGAAAAATTAATTTTCCTCCACTTTTTTTTTTTTTTTTTTTTTTTTTTTTGGGTTTTTTAATTGGTGGAAATTTGATTATTATGAAAAAAAGTATTTTTTAAAAAATCGTTTTTCCCCGGGAAAATTTTCATTAGGGAAAATTTTTTTTTTTTTTTTTTTTTTAAACAAAAAAAACGAAACGCATACGATCGTTGACATCCTTCTTTAAATTTTTATAAGACGAAATTAATTAATTTTTAATTTTTTTTTTTTGCTTTTTTCTTATTAAAAAAATAAGTAAATTAAGAAAATTTTACTTAGTAAAATAAAAAAAAATAAAAAATAAAAAAAATAAATAAAAAAAAATAAATGAGGTGAAAAATAAATAAAGAAAGAAAGAGAGAGAGAGAGAAGGAGAGAAAAGGGGAAAAAGAGAAATGAGAAAATGTAATTTTACGTATCTCGACATTTTTTTTTATTACTTTTTTCATTATTATTATTATTATTATAAAAATGGCGGTTTGTTTAGGAAATAAAATATATTTATATATATATTTCTATCAAATTCATCAAAATTATTTATATTATAACTATTATCCTTATTTAAAAAAAAAAAAAAAAATTCGTAATTAAAAAAGTTGGATTTGCGACAAAAAGTTTAAAAGAAATTAAAAAAAAATTCATTTAAAAATTTCTTCTCATTATTATTATTATTATTTTAATTTGTATGCGGTAGTAACATTTTAATAATAATAATAATAATAAAAAGTTAATTTTTTTTTTTTTTTTTTTTTTTTTTTTTAAAGGAAAAAAAGGAAAAAGAGGGATCGAAGAAATCGATCGATATTTTTTTTTTTTTTTTTTTAAATTAACAAATAATACCCGAAATCGTATAAAATAATTTTAAAAAATTTAAGTTGAGTTGCGAGGGGGAGAGAGAGAGGGAGGTGGGGGGAAAGAACGTCAAGGTTGAAAATGTAATTAATTTACTTTTTTTTACTTTTTACACCGAAGCCATGTTCGTCCCCCCACATGTGATTGAACGATACTAATAGATTTTAAAATGAAATGGAAAGTTTTTTTTGAAATTTTAATCTCATTAAAAATAGGGAAGGAAGGGAAGGAGGGAATGAAAACAGAAAGAAAAAAAAAGGTAGAAAGTAGGAAGTTGAATGGAATATGAGAAAATTTCATTTGTCCTCGAATGAAATGTATTCGAATTTTATTTTCCTTTTAATAATTAAACGATGTTCAATTTCCGCTTTTCCAACCAAATCAATGCTCCCCTCAACTCTTTCCCCTCCCCCCCATTTGTCATATTCCTCCTTTTTTTGTTGTCCGGTAATATTTTTAAAATTGACACTTTTGTGAAAAAAAAAAAAAATGATTTATTTTATTTTTGATAGACATGCGATGTGTTTCATGTTTTGAAAAATAATACGATTTCAAATTAAAAATTTATCTTGAATGATTGTATTGATATTTTACAAACAAAAAAAAAAAAAAAAAAAAAATTTCCTTTTCGAGTTGAACTTTTCAAAATTTCGTGTCAGTTGTAATAAACATGAATTTTTTTTTTGTTCCTTTTTAAGTGAAATGGGAGATAATAAAAGAAAAATATTTTATTCCACGTTAGGCATAATTTTATTCACAAAAACATTTTTTGTTTTTAAAAAAATTTAATCAATATTTACGAATGCTTATTAAAAGGGGGAAAAAAAAACATCAACAACTTTAAAAAACAAAGAAGGAAAAGAGCAAACACAAAAAAAAATTGACTGAATGTTTTAAATTTTTAAACGAGTTTATTTTTCCACTCTCTCTGTTTTACCGATGTTGATATTCGGATAAAAATACAGATTTCTATTTTTTTTTATTGCAGTATTGACAAAGTGCCTAAAGTTACCTCACCGGTGCTGGTTATACACGGAATGGAGGACGAAGTGGTTGATTATTCGCACGGAGTGGCTATATACGAAAAATGTCCTCGTGCGGTGGAACCCTTGTGGGTTGTGGTGAGTTGAGAAAACTATCCAGCTAATTAAAAATATTAAATTAAACACACAAATACGTGATTGGGGGGTTTCGTTTTCAGGGTGCGGGACACAACGACGTCGAGCTGTACCATCAATACTTGGACAGACTAAAACAGTTCGTCACGGTCGAACTAGTCAACTGACAATTACTGCCGGGCGAAGCCGAAGAGGACGACGATGAGGATGAAGACGAGGACGGAAACGGAGGAGGTGAAGACTACGAAGACGATAACAACTGCTCAACCCTGAGTTCGGCTACGACAAATTCAATAACGGAAAAGTTACTCTAGCAATCGGCCGGCCGAAAGGCCTCGTCGGACGAATTCGACGAAGATACCCTGGCGGATGTGTTCTCGTGCGACGAAAATTTCAAAAAAGATCCAATTACTACAATAACTTCTAATAATACTACTACGAATCCTCTTCGGAAAAAGACTGATAAAAACGGTACTCAGGGTAACGTGTCGAAAAGGAACGGTGTTCCCGTCGAAGGAAAGAGCACGAACGATAAAGGCGAAGGCAATGCGTTAGCATCGAGCGCGAACGCACGGAATAACGGAAACGGTAGCGAAAGCGGAAGCGGAGTCGGTAGCGGAAACAGCAGTAGCAGCGTCAGGAGCAGCAACGGAAACGGTTCCAAGTGCGAAGCAAGAGGAAGAGAAAAGATCAAGATAAATACAGATCCGATGGAAATGAAGCCCTTGCTCAAACCCGCTTTCCTTTCGCCGAGTTTCGGAAAACGTTTATCGGAGCCTTCCGGACGATCCGGTCATCACGGAAACAATTCGGGAATCACGACTCACAACAACTTGTTCGAGAAAGACGAATTGAGAAGTCCGACGCTCCTCGAATTACAAGCACTGAAATCGGGACAATATTCGGATTTATTCGAAACCGCTTGCGAAATAGAATGTTACGAATCTCACAAAAGCATAGCATCTCCGAAATCGTCTTCGTCCTCGTCTTCGAAGTCCATCTCGACGAAGAGTTCGCACGGCGGTAATGGAAAAAAAAAATTGTCGTCGTCGTCGTCGTCATCGTCGGGGAAAAAGAATCTCAGAGACGGTGTCGTGAAATGTCATTCGGCGACTTCGAGTCCGGTACGACTCCGATCGAGTGCCGTTGACCGGGAAATAGACCGGGAATCTTGGATGAAAAACGAAAAGCATAAGGAATCTTCTAGAATTGCAACTATAAAGAAAATAGAAACGTCCTGCGCTACCGAGAAATTATCAGAGATGAAGAAAGATCCGGTCGAAAGTAAATCTCCAGATTTCAAGGATTCGAACAATGGGAAGTTTTCTAACGGCGGACACAACGGACAATCAATCACCACACTGCAGCCATCCGAAAAGTCATCGACGTTGTGGACGACGACTGCGGTGAGCAAAGACGAGGATGGACAAAGATCATGTCTCGCGTCTAAAACCACGACGACGACGATGGAAAACGAGAGCAGATCGTTGACCAAGTCCAATGATCCTAAACACGTGATAGAAACGACTTGCTAACGATTCGACCGTTAGCCATCTTCTCTCGTGCGACAACAACACGTTCGGTTGATTATTTATTATCCTTCGTCCATGAAATATGAAACCCTTACCCAAGTGTACATAATAAATAAGTATTCTTACAATAAATTGTACATAATGTATGTATATTAATAATAATAACGAAAGAAAAAAAATGAGAAAAAAAATACTTTTATTTCCTTAATAAAAAGAAAACATTGGTAAAGTTGCCTTTAGTGATAACCACCGGAAAAACAAAAAAAAGAACTGAAAAACGAGAAAAAATTATTTTTTAAAAAATGATAATAATAATAGTTAAAAATTACTTATTAATCGTAAGTGCCAAAAAACTAAAAAAAAATTCTAAAAGTTTTAAAACGAGAAAATTGTGTAGATGTACGACTGGAGAAGAATAAACAGGAATTGTGATTTTTGGGTTGTCCAGAATGCCAGGATCGATATAAGGATAATTTAAGAAGAGAAAGTAATAAATAAATTTTTTTTTTTTCCTTTGTGTGGTAAATTTAAAAAAAAAAAAAAATACTCTTTTAAGAAGTAACTCAACGGGATTATTGCATTACATTGTGTGATTGATTGAGAACAGGTATAAGAGTATTAGTGAGAGACGAATGGACAACCTGGAACCACATGTGATTTATTTAAATGACCCATAGAATAGTATTTCTATTTCGATTCTTGCCGAAAGATTGATAGTAACTCACACCCACGCATTTGCACCGACGGAAGTCAACTAAAAAAAAATTTTTTTCATTGCTCACTTTCTCTCCTTTAATTATTATTTCTGTTGTAAACGAGAATCTCAATAGCGTGTGCTTTTATAGGAATATATGCTCATCTTGCTCAAGAATGGTGGTAGATTGTAGGTACGATAGGATTCCTGTTAAATCTATTATTATTATGTATTATTCTGGAGTCTTCCGATTACTTATTGGTGCGATGGATCGAATACATATTGAGACGAGAAAACATATCGAACAATCGTATATTGTGTAAAAAAAAAAAAAAAAAAAATAAGGAAAAACGTCAAATTGTATTAATACCCAATATTCCAAATTAAAAAATTAAATATTTATGTACCTTTTTTTTTCCTTGACAGTGGTGGTAAAAATTTTAAAACTCTTTTTTTCTTAAAAGATGATAATAATCATAAAATAGGTCGGACATGTTTTTTTTTCTTCTTCTCTCTTCTGCTTATTTCAACAATTCGTGTGCTTTATGTGATTCGTTGGCCTAACTTAAATTATCCAGTATGTATAAGTTTTTCACGAGTGCGTGAATTTTTTATGGATTTGCTAAGGTATGGGTTTGCTAGGTATTAAAGGATGAAAAGGCTTTTGAATGAGAGTTTTCTTGCGATTGTGGAAATGGTGCAAGTGTGTGCGTGTGTGCGTGCGTTTGTGAAAATAACATTTGGATTGCTTGCCACTTAAATAATTGAATCTCGTAATAATATTATATTAATAATTTAAAAAAGTTTTTCGTGAGTATATTGCGCATTCGAACGTACCTGAATTCGCTCTCACTCACACATGATAAGACAAACAGCCCACGACAAACTTTTTTTTTTTTACCCGCGATTTATTTATACTCTCGATTATTATGTAATAATTTTAATAAAAAATATTTTTATATAAAAAAAAAGAAGAAAAAAAAAAACGGATTCGATGCGAAAAATAAATAATAATATTCTATTATTAATGATAATAATAATTATTATTACTATTAATATCATTATTATTAGTAATACATGAAATATACATTTATTTATATTCGTATATATATATATAAGTACATAATAATTTTTTTGTAAAAGGATTTAATTCGAAATTATTATTATTATTATCATTGTCTCGTGTTTTTCTTTTTTTTATTATTTTAAGTTTTTTTTTATAAAATTTTTTTTTATTATTTTATTATTAATAATTAAACTTTTTCGAATCTCAAATAAATAAATAAATAAATTTATAATTCTAAATTAATTATGATACATAATTATACATTGTAAAAAAAAAATAAAAAAACATGTTTACTATAATTGTTATTATTATTATTATATTTTTCAATATACAAAAAAAAAAAAATTATAAGATTTATTATTATTATTATTTCTTTTTTTTAATATTAATAATTTTTTACATCCTTTGTTATTTTTTTATTTTTTAATCATTTTATTTCGAAAAAAATAAATAAATAAATCTTCAAATTATAATTGTCGATTTGAAAATTTATTTAATTATTATTATACTTTAATAACTTTTTATTTATTGGTTCGATAATCGAATTGCATTTTTTATTTAAACAAAAGTAAATAATTTTTATTAAAATCGTTCAAAAATTATTTACTTAAGATATAAAATCATTCAAAAAGAAAAAAGTTTTGTTGTTGTTGTTGTTGTCGTGTACGAAACACGTAAAAGTTAGTATTATATTATTATTTTTGTTTATTTTATTGATTTTTAAACGTATTTCGGGTAAGTCATTTAAAACTTATAAATAAATAAATAAATTAAACATTTAAATCGTGTAATAAATAATAATGCGCTCACGCAAATTTAAGGAAAATTTTATATAAATTAAAAATTAAAAACAATCAGGTACGGACTGGACTTTTCTGTCCCCCCTTTTTTTCTTATTAAAGAAAATTCTTTACATCCGGTCGTGAAAATTGTTTGAATAAACTTGACATTAAATATTTTATCAATGATTCATGATTTTCACGACGGTTTTCATCGTACTATTGACTTGAATATAATTTTAATTTATCAAAAAAATTTAAATTTAAATTTTGAGAAAAAAAAAATTGAAATTGAATTATTTAAAACTTATCGATTATCTATCGTTAATTTTTTTTTCCGCCGATCGATAAAAAGAAATTTTTTACAAAATTCCGGTGAGTATTTTATTTAAAATTTAAATCAAAACGATTATTATTATTATTCATTACGTCATTAATTATCTCTAACAATGACGTATGCGTTACGTAATTTAATAAATAAGGATTCGAAACAAAGGAAAAAAAAAAAAACATTTTTTTAAATATAAAAAAATAAATTTATTGTCATTAAGAAAAAAAAATAAAAAAATTAATATTTTAAAAATACTTTTCTTTTTTTTTTTGATATTTGAAAAAAATAAAATAATAATAATAATAATTATAATAAAAAAATCAGATTTACATAATAATCATAAATGTTATTATTATTCATAACAAAAAAAAAAATTTACAAAATTTAATAAAAAATAAAATAAGAAAATAAGAGGAAAACTTAGGACAAATCAAAAAAAAAGTGACGTCATAATAAATTTTGAATTAAATCCCGTTTCAATTATTATAATTATGTTATGTATTACAAATAATAATGATATTCATAGTAGTAGGCGTAATAATAATAATATTTTTAGTTATTTTTCGCATCGAATCCGTTTTTTTTTCTCCTTCTTTTTTTATATAAAAATATTTTTTATTAAAATTATTACATAATAATCGAGAGTATAAATAAAATCGCGGATAAAAAAAAAAAGTTTGTCGTGGGTTGTTTGTATTATTGTGTGTGAGTGAGAGCGAATTCAGGTACGGGCTCAAAATACTCACGAAAAAATTTTAAATAATTAATATAATTTTATTAGGAGATTCATTTATTTAAGTGGCAAGCAATCCAAGTGTTATTTTCACAAACGCACGCACGCACACGCACAACCTTCCACCATTTCCACAATCGTACGAAAACTCTCATTCAAAAGCCTTTTCATCCTTTAATACCTAGCAAACCCATACCTTAGCAAATCCATAAAAAATTCACGCACTCGTGAAAAACTTATACATACTGGATAATTTAAGTTAGGCCAACGAATCACATAAAGCACAAGAATTGTTGAAATAAGCAGAAGAGAGAAGAAGAAAAAAAAACATGTCCGACCTATTTTATGATTATTATCATCTTTAAACGAAAAAAAAGTTTTAAAATTTTTACCACCACTGTCAAGGAAAAAAAAAGGTACATAAATATTTAATTTTTTAATTTGGAATATTGGGTATTAATACAATTTGACGTTTTTCCTTACTTTTTTTTTTTTTTTTTTTACACAATATACGATTGTTCGATATGTTTTCTCGTCTCAATATGTATTCGATCCATCGCACCAA